TGTACTTTTCCATACATGAAACTACGAAACCTGCAGACGTGACACCATATGTCAGAACTGAACTCAATGCATTTTCCTTTTGATGCTGGATTTAAACGGCGTACTAGAACCGTTCGTTGCTTCTAGGGGACCGTATAAGCAGGCCTCAGCTCCAAGGCATTTCAGCATTTGCAGTACATGGTTGCAAAACTGTATCACTGCGCAAGTGTGAACAGAGTCCTGTCTGAACACCTGCCGATATGCCTTCATCCATAAAATCAATCCCGATTCTATGGGTTTACTAGCATACTGCCACTTTTTCGGTAAAATGTTGCTCCTCTTAGCGCCTAGTCTGCAGCTGAGTCGGTTAACTTGCCCCAGACCATTTTTGGCCGTCCTCTGGGTCAGTTTAACAACCAGTTGCCGATTCGCTTTCGTTTCTGAAGGCATTCGCAAAATGTGTACAAATCATTAAGCTGTCACTTCTCAATTGAAGAGGTAGCGCCTGCACACCAAGATTTCCTCATATATCTGAACCCCGGAATTTACCAAGGTGTGTCAGCTCAGTTATTCGTTTTAGAAAATTTATTTCAGCTGTTTATGACAGCAATCGAAGTTTTTCAGCCACAGTCCACGAATCATGACCACTAGTGAGCATGAGGATGATAATCGACTTGAACACAGATAGCTAAGTCTTCAGACTCAGCCCTACTGTAGTCACTACGGTTAAGATTCCTTTAGCAGAACCCCGCTGGCTGTTTCATTCCACTGGTCGATCTCTTCCTCCAATTTTCCATCACCAGTAAACACAACCTCAAAGTACGTGAATCTGTTTGCCTGTTTCACGGCATTTCAGCGCATCTGCCTAGAGAAACGGGGACCAGGGCAAGAAAGAACTAGGCTTTTCGTTCTAGAGACCTTACACGTTGCTCTCGGATGTTACTTTCCAATAGAGCGCTGGAACTTAGTTACAGAAGATGCCAACAAAACAAGATCGTCTTCAAACAGCAAACTTCTCATCGTGACATCTACTCTGAGGCAC